TCCCGCCACGCCCCCCCCCCCCCCCCCCCCCCCGCCCGTTGGAATGCCCCCACTAGGCCCCAACTGCAGGCGATGCTTCGCGATCCCAAGCTCCAGGGAGGGTCGTTGGGCCACAAAGGGAACGAGAATGCACCCAGGTCCCGCGGCCTAGCGCCAGCGCTGCAAGAAACGCGCCCTGGAGCGAGGCAAGGCCGAGCAGCATCTGGTGCAGTACCGCTTGGCTTCCAGCCGGCACGCCCTACGAGGGACTTTCCTTCTCCGAGGTTCCTGCTGGGGGGGAGGGAGGAGCTCGCGACCCTGAGTCAGTTGGGCTCCGCCCGATCCCCGCCACCCTCTCCGCCACCGTAGTCCCCCTTCCCCGCGCTCGTCGGCCGCACCCCGCTCGGCCGCCCCACCACCGCGGGAAAGGGCTCGATCCTAAGACCGAAGCTTTGGAGAGCGCCGGCCGGGGTCTGGCACTTCTGCGAGCGCTTCGCAAGCCGCGCGGCGCCGGGGCAGTGGCTGCCCGCCAGGGCCTGGCCCCTACGCGGCTCACGCAGATCCCCTGCCCCAGGCCAGCCTTCCCAGTCTGCGCGGCCCCTTGCGCACCTGCACCCGCCGGTTCCCACCGCCTCCCTCTCCTCTCCTTCCCTCCGGCCTCCCTGGCTCCACCCTGGAGGAAATGGGGCACTGGGCCAGGAGGCCACCAGCACTCCAGGAGCAAGCAGCCTTCGAAAGGGCCCGGCCGTGCCAATGGGCATGGCCAGAAGGCGCCGTGTGATGCGTGCAGGGACAGCGTGTGCCCGCCTGACCCACAGTCCGTCCGCCTGGGGCACTGAGCGAGGAGGGGGTTTCTCTCCCGTTGGAATGGCCCCTGAGCCCAGCCTGACCCAGGAGGTCACCAGGCAGGGAGCAGAAGGGGGTTGATCTTCCAGAACCAAAGGGGCCCAAGAAGATTCAGATAAAGCTTGGCAGGCTCTGAGCATCCCCGTAAGGGCTGGCTTCAGGTATAGTGGCGGTGCAGAGGAGGCCCCAGGGCAGGAAGGGCAGTGCACTGAGGGAATGAAACAGAGAAGGCTGTGAAGGCTTGGTGGGAAGCCTGGCCCGAGTCCACAGAGCAGTGGGAAGCTATTTGCTCCAATTCATTTTCTGCTACATAACCCTGAAGATGGTTGAAAGGCACAGCAGTAAGAGAGCTAGCAGGGACACTCACTGAGACCCCCAAAGTGGAATTCCCCTGCCCCAGGCCTGTGAAACTCATCTCTCCACAACGTTCCCCTCTGGGTGTCCTATTCCCAGAAAGGCAGGTCTCTGTCCTGCTTCTTGGTTCTAGTAACACCTTATCTACTACAGACTAGTGAGTGGGCCAGCATCATGCCCAAATATGGTTGACTTTCCAAGGCGGGGCTGCGATCACAGCTGGCATCTTCTCTGCCTCCCAGCTGTTCACTTCAGGAGGTGGCCAGGCAGGGAGCAGAGGGTGGTGGCCTTCTAGACCCAGAAGGGCCGGCTCAGGGATTTCCATTAAGTTTGGCAGGCTCTGAGCGCCTGGGTGGTAGGGGATCTAAATGGCATTCTCACTACTGACCCACACCTATACCCTCACCCCTCTCCTGACAGCTCTCAGACGCACCTGCACAAAATGCACCACCTCACTGGGAGCTGTGAAAGGGGAACTATACAGACCCCTCCCTATCAGGGATCCAGATGGGCCCCCTGCTCTACTGGAAAGCAAGTTCCCCAGGGCACAATCGCACCATGTAACAGAGCAGAGAAACTAAGTCAGAATAACTGACCAGTAGTTGACTCCAGCAGCAAGGGGCACAAAAGCTGGGTATCCCGGCTTCCCGCCAGGTTGTCCTTGTTCAGGGGAAACAAGGAATGGTAGTACAGTGGGTTCTTGTCCCGGGGAGAACATGGTATCACCACCAGATGTCGCCCCATTCCAAAGCCCCCAGACTGGGCAGCCCTAGGAAACCCAAATTCAGCTCTTTCATATTTTCCCTTATTTGGAGTAGATTCTTGGTAGACACGCCCTACCCATCACCCCACCCCCAGCCCTCAGACCCCAGGCCAGGCCCTCCCACAGGGAGTTACGGCCCCAAGCCCAAGGACTCTTCAACTGAGGTCCTTTCTAGGCCTGCACAGCCAGGGTGTGCAGAATGAAGCAGCAGACAGGCAAAGTGAGAAGCGAGCTTGGCTGGCAAGGGGGCAACTTGAAGGCACTCATTTCCTGAGCGCCCACCTTGATGGCGTAGCCTGGAGCTGTGCAAATGGGCCTGCCAGAGGACTTCACCTACTCTTCCTGGCCCCGGGAAGGAGGGGGCTCTGGGGTTGGTGCTGCTCACCTACTCGCTGGTGAGCACATCCAGCTCAGAGCCAGCCTGGGACAGGGCCCAGGACCCAGGGCCCAGGTGAAGAATCTGGTCTGGCCATGTCCCACCACAGCCCCCATGGAGCACAGTGGCTGGGTGTCTGCCCAAAGCAGCTGGTCCTCAATGGACCTGCACCAACGATGGACCCACCATACCATGCCCTGCAGACACACTGGCTGCAAAGTGTCCTTCCAGGTGGCCACTCACTCTCAGCCCACACAGAAAGGAACACAGTAACGGGTTCAGGGCACCTGTGCCATTCGTGCATTTTCTGCCAAAGGCTCAGACAGCCTCTCTCAGGGATCCCCTTGGACTTGATCTCCCAGACTCCTGGGCACAGACAGAGGCTCACAGGTAAACTAGGAAGGCGGCCGCTGGAGAACCACTCCAAGACGCCAACAGCGGCTCTATCGCTCCCACACACGTCGGTTGCAACTGGCCCGGACCCGGGCGCGC